AACTGGCGCGGGTCGCCGAAGGCCGTCAGCTCGGGGGCCGCTGCGGGTGGGAAAGCATCATGGTGAGAGGGGAGCTCAGGGGGCCCCGCCCTCGCTGCCAGCCCCCCGCAGGACCATTACCCAGAATGCCCCTGCCCAGGGAGGTGGGGGACTACCCAGAATGCTGCTGCCCAGGGAGGTGGGGGACTACCCAGAATGCTGCTGTCCAGTGAGGTGGGGGACTACCCAGAATACCGCTGCCCAGGGAGGTGGGGGACTACCCAGAATGCCCCTGTCCAGGGAGGTGGAGGACTACCCAGAATGCCACTGCACAGGGAGGTGGAGGACTACCCAGAATGCCGCTGTCCAGGGAGGTGGAGGACTACCCAGAATTCCGCTGCCCAGGAAGGTGGGGGACTACCCAGAATGCTGCTGCACAGGGAGGTGGAGGACTACCCAGAATGCTGCTGTCCAGCGAGGTGGAGGATTACCCAGAACGCCACTGTCCAGTGAGGTGGGGGACTACCCAGAATGCTGCTGTCCAGGGTGATGGGGGACTACCCAGAATGCTACTGCCCGGGAAGTCGGAGGATAACCCAGAATGCTGCTGCTGGGGCAGGTGGGACACTAGGCAGAATACTATTGCCAAGGAATTGAGGACTTCCCAGAATGCTGCTGCTCAGGAAGCTGGAAGACTACCCAGAGTACTACTGCCCAGGAAGCTAGGAGAGTACCCAGAATGCTACTGTCCAGGAAGCTGAAAAATTACCCAGCATGCTGCTGCTCTGGGATATGGGGACTTCCCAGAATGCTACTGCCCAAGAAGCTAGGAGAGTACCCAGAATGCTGCTGCCCAGGAAGCTGGAAGACTACCCAGAATGCTGCTGCCCAGGAAGCTGAAAAATTACCCAGCATGCTGCTGCTCTGGGAGATGGGGACTTCCCAGAATGCTACTGCCCAGGAAGCTAGGAGAGTACCCAGAATGCTGCTGCCCAGGGAGATAGTATGATAATATATAGTAAAAGAAGAGAATATATGCTACCAAGTAACATAAAACGCTAATATAATATGCTTTCACGTAGTATAACAATAGAGATCTAATATGGGTACAATATGTATAGACATGACATAGGGTGTGTGTAGTACAGATACAATAACTGGTATCATCCCGGGTTGGCAAACTACAGCCCAGGGGTCAAATCCAGCCGTGCCGTTTTCGTGTCCCACAAGCTAAGAATGAGCATTATTATATTTTTAAGTGGTTGAAAAAGAAGTCAAAGGAAGACTGTGTCTTGTAATGAAATTTATGTGAGATTCAAATTTCAGGGTCAATGCATAAAGTTTTATTGGCATCAGCCTCATTCCTTTATGCGTTGTCTCTGCCTGCTTTTGAGCTACCTCTGCAGCGTTGAGGGTCATGACTTAGACCGCAGGGCCCTGAAATACTAAAGTATTTAGTTTCTGGCTCTTTACAGAAAAAAGGCCAATCTTCTAGATAATCAATATACTAATGCACCAATATTAATATAAATTTAGTCTCTGACATTAATATAATTATAATTGATAACACAATGTAACACTATATAATAATTAGAAATATAATGGACGCATTAATAAATTCATATCAATAGACTATATCATGCATATTATGATATAGTATCATAACAATACTAATGTATAATAACATTACAATACATTAGACATAGTATTTAGGTTGAATCATAGGAAATTGCCATTTTGTTAGGCCTCAAACAGTTCAAAATTGGCAACTTCCTGTGAGTCAACCCATGCATACCATAGGAGTGACTGGAGTGGATACCAGCACCACCGCTCTCCCCACATCGACCTCGGAATAGCCCCACATTCTTAGAAAGGGTTCAGCCTGGTCCACCTGGCGTTCACTATCACGCCTCCACGGTTTGTTACCACGAGTGGCTGCAGGGCCTTGATTTAGCGACTGCATTTTCCCCATGCTGACATTTTAGCAGGAACGGCAAAGCGTTGTCTCTAAAACTCATCTTGCTAGAATTATGCCTTCCAGCTTCAGGGACTGGCTTCGACTCCCCGGCATGGCATCCCTCTGCATCCTCTCACCCACAGGCTGCCCTTGGGAGCCACTGGAGGCCTGGGTGCCAGGGAGGGTTCCCTGTGTCAGAGCTTCTCAAAGGTGGCACCGTGGCCCTCTCTCGGGCCAGACAGTTCTCTGTGGGGATGTGAAGGGCTGTCCTGAGCCTGCCTTGTAGGATGTCTGGTAGCATCCTTGGCCTTTGCCCACCAGACGCCAGCAGTGTCCCCACTCCCAGAATTGTGACAACCAACGTCTCCAGATACTGTCAATGTCCCGGGGGTAGGGGCCAGGGGGCAGCTCCCCACTCCCCTCTGAGAACCAACACTGTATATTCAGGATGGTGCCCTAGGGTAGTTTCTCTCTCTCAGAATTATTCACGAAATGACAAGGCCAGGACTACAGTCTTTACATTAGCAAACCCAAAAGACAGCAACAAAACAGAGCAGAGGCACGAATGAAATGTTTCAAAATGTGCACGTCCTCCAATCAACAACAAAATGACTCCAAGCTCAGGATGACAGGTGGCCGTGCCCTCTTGTGTCCAGGCCGATAGAGAACGTGAAGGAGCAAAGCTGGTTCTGGGAGGAGAGCT